GCACAAAATGTATGATACATACACTTTGGAGAGATACTGGCTCGAACTCTCACCGTCTAGATCCCCAGATCGGCGCCTCACTGTCACGCTAGATATGATTAGCCAAACCACACCGTAGTGATTTTTTAATAGTCTATTGTCTGGGGCAAGGATTGCCACATGTCATCTGATTCCAATTGGGGATGCTCATCCAATTAAGGTTCCTATTCATTGTCGGTCACCCAAAGAGATCAAGATTTAATGTGCAAACATCAAGGAGATGTTGGAGAAGGGTGTTATTCGGAAGTCGCGGAGTTCTTGGGCATATGAACCTCATCTTGTGATAAAGCCTGATGAGAGTATTCATTTCTGTATCAACTCATTCGTTAGACGAAGTGACAATCCCAGATGTGTACCCTCTTCCTCACATTGTTGATCTCTTGGTTCGTCTGGGGTGAAGTTGTTGGTTCACTAAGCTAGATTTTGCTTCTAGGTATTGACAAGTACCGATGGCCAAAAGAGATATTTCTAAGACTACTTTTCATACATTGTTTAGTTTGTATGAGTTCTTAGTGATGCAGTTTCATTTGAACAATGCTCCAGCAACTTTCTAGCAGATGATGGACAAGATTTTTTGTGATATGCCAAAAGTGACTACTGACTTCATTGATGATGTCTTGATCCATTCGGAGGGGACGTGGGAGGAGCACATGTTTATAAAGTGTTGGATCGGTTACGGGACGTTGGTTAAAGTTGAAGCGGTCAAAGTATGTGTTTGGGTCCAAGGACATGACTTGTCTTGGGTATCATATTTCTCGTGAGGGTTTGCAAATTGATCTTGATAAACTTGTGGCTGTTATAAAGTTCCTTATTTTAAAGTGTGTAAATGATGTGCAGCACTTCTTGGGCAAGGTGCAGTGTCTCAGTCATTTTCTAGATCATTTTTTTTATGACACTACACTGTTGTGAGCATTGCTAAAGTCATCAGTGTCATCTTTCATTTGGTTTGTAGATTGTGAGTGGGCGTTTATAGACCTCAAAGAGCTATTAACGACTCCTCTAGTTTTGGTGTATCCTCACTATACTCGACCTTTTATTTTGCGTATGGATGCTTCTGATATTAATTTGGGAGGTGTGTTGATGCAAGAGAACCCAAGTGTGCCTGGTCAGCACCATCCTATTGCGTATATAAGCAGTACATTACAACTAGCGAAGGTGAATTAATTCACGATAAATAAGGAGTGTTTAGCAGTAGTCTGGGGTTTTGAGAAACTTCATGCATGTCTACATAATTCTCAGACGTTACTTGAAGGTGATTATGTTGCTGTTACTTTATTATTGAAGCAAAAGAACTTGGTTGGTTGTATTGTTTAGTGGGCTTTGAAGCTTCGAATATATGATTTTGATGTTGTTTATTGCCCAGGGAGTTCTATAGCCAATGCTGATGCCCTTTCTCGAACTCCTCTTCCTTCTCCACTCTCTTCTCATGTTTTTTACGACCCTATTGTTCTAGCATTTGTGGATTTTCTAGACGAGGATTTTATGCCGTCGGCAGGTGCTATACTTAACGTTTAGTGTCCACAAGGTGCAAAGCAAGACCTACCTTCTTTTGATGAAGTTTGCGAGGCTCAAAAGATTGAGCCATGGATTTGAAGGCTTTGAGATGGGTTTGAGAATGTTGCATCACTTGCTGATGACTTGCCATTCCGACATTTATATTTTCAATATTGCCTTGAAGACGGCCTTCTTTATTTTGTGGGGACTGATCCTAATGATCATTTACGGCTAGTGGTGCCTTCAATCTTTATTCCACGGTTTCTTCATGCCTACCATGATTCTCCTATTCTAGGTGGGCATATAAGACATTGTCGTGTGACCGAAAAGTTGCACAGATCTTTCTATTAGCTAGAGATGCGATGCAATGTTATCTAGTATATGTGTAACTGTGTTTGGTGTTAAGCTCATAATACTCCCTCTTGTGCTACGGAAAGACGGTTGGAGTCAAGTGCAATTTCCCATCTATTTGAGTTGGTGGCATTTGATCTTATGGGACATTTTCTACGATTGAATGTTGGTAATAAGTATGTTATTATTGCTTCTGACTACTTGACTTGTTGGGTGGAAGTTAGTGCTCTTGCTAGTGCATCTGCAATTGCTGTTGGATACTTTCTTCTCAATTGAGTGGTGTTTCAGCATTCTTGTCCGAAGTGGATTCTTTCGGATAATGGTCTTGCATTTATGGCTGAGGCATTTTACGTTTTAACATCTTGGTTGAGGATACACCACACTTTTACGAGTGCTTATCATCCACAGTTAGACGGTTTGGTGGAATGGCTTGTTCGGACATTCAAAGGAATGATCACGAAGTACGTGAACTTTCAGCATTCAAATTGGGATGGTTATTTGCTATCTCTTCAGTATGCATATATCACAGAGGTGTAGAATTATGTTGATGCTTCACCATATAAACTTCTATATAGTCATGATCCAATATTACTAATAGAGTTAAGTTTACCTTTGCGATTACCATGAGCTGCCGATGGTAGGTCATGGGATCAGTATTTGACGAGCATTCTTCCACTTATCCGAGTAGAGTTTATTGAACACTAGGCCGCATACAAGTGAGACAACAATAGCACTACAACTCCCATCATCGTTCACCTACGGAGTATAAAATGAATGACTTGGTGTTAGTCTGTTTTCCCCATTTTATAGTATGTGGTTTATCTAAAGGGTTTTTTATTCAGTGGAAAGAACTATATTGGGTGTTATGGACCACAAGCTTATAATGTTTGGCATGACATCCAAAAAGCCAATACTCCAAAAATTATATATATGTAGCGGTTGAAATATTTTATACAAAGGGATTAGGAATAGTTATAGATCTACTAATGCCTCCTCTTAATGTTCTTCCAGATTTCAGCTCATCTACAAAAGAACCCTAATAGTCTTCCATTGGGATAATGTGAGTGTATAGCTATAATGCTGTATATTAATATTAACATAGTGGGATTTTAGTAGTTATCAGATTAATTTTAATTTAGACCACTCATTTTTGTATATAAGCTAAGGTTTTTGGGCTAATTGATATGCATATTCCTTTTCCATATTCCATGCACTCACAAAACTTATTTTGCAAATTAAATTTCAATTACATTCTGTGAGTGCATGGAATATGGAAAGGGAATACAGAAATGTGCATATCAATTAGCCCAAAAACCCTAGCTTATATACAAGAGCAAGTGGTCTGGATTGAAACCAATCCGACAGCTACCAAAATCCCACTACGCTAATATTAGTATATGGCATCGTAGCTGTACACTTGGCCCTCACATCATCCCCTCCTCTCGGAATAATGGAAGGCCATCAGGGTTCTCTTGTAGATGGGCCGGGATCTGGAGGAACGTCAAGAGGAGGCATCAGCGGATCTGTAGACGGTATTAACTGCTCCTGATCCCTTTGTATGAAGCGTTTCAACCGCTGCACATACACAATCTCCGGAGGATCAGCCTGCTGGACGTCATGCTGAACCTTATAAACTTGCAGTCCAACTTGCCGCAACACCCAATATAGTCCTTTCCACTGTGCAAGGAGCCCCTTAAATAAACCACGTACCGTAAGATGGGGAAAACAGACTAACACCAAATCATCCACTTTGTACTCTACAAGTGGACGATGATGGGAGTTGTAACGCCGTTGTTGTCCCACGTGTATACGGCCTAAGTGTTCGGCAGACTCTGCTCGGACAAATGGAAGAATGCTCGTCAAATATTGATCCCATAACCTAGCATCAGGAGCTCGTGGTAATCACGAAGGTAAACCCAGCTCCGTTGGTAATATTGGATCATGACCATATAGAAGTTTATATGGTGAAGCACCAACAGAATTCTGCACCCCTATGACATAGGCATACCGAAGAGACGGCAAATAACCATCTCAATCCGAATGCTGAAAGTTCACATACTTCGCAATCATCCCTTTGAATGTCCGAACGAGCCGTTCCACCAGACCGTCTGATTGTGGATGATAAGCACTCGTAAAAGTGTGGCGTATCCCCAACCGAGACGTCAAAACATGAAATACCTTAGCCATAAACGTAGGACCATTATCCGAAAGAATCCGTTCCGACATATTTGGCTCCGCACGAAGCAAAAGACTTTGGAAATGAACGCCAAATTGCATCACCGATTCAGATGGCCCTTGGCGAAGACAATGCAATTGTTGGAAGGCATCGTCACAATCGTCGACATGTCCGAAAGCGTGTTTGAAGACATCCGAAAGAACACTCCAATCCCCATGAGTGGCCGCACTCAATCCATTGTACCATAGCAACACCGTCCCTTGGAGACACGTGGGAAAATCACGCAAACGTCGAGCATCATCCCAAGAATGATACGTGGCAATCACCTTGAAGTGATCGAACCAATGGTACACATCATCCCCAGGATTCTTATGAAAGAACTCCGGCCGAACGCGAGGATTGGACCAAGAGCAGAAGGAGTTGGACCACGTGCCATGAATGCCACCATCAATTGAGTTTGGTTGTTTAATTGCAAGCACATAGCATCAAGCAATTGAACCAATTACTGCTCTAGAGTCAAAGGAGGAAATTGTTGATTGGCCATGAAAATGAACGAAAAAGAAAGAGCAAAAGAAGAGAAATGACAAAAAAACTGGAAAGAAATGGTAAATCTAGACAATGCAAAAAGCTAGATCTAAACCAAAATTCTAAAAGGAAATAACAAAAGAAAGGAAATGGAAAAAGCTAGATCTAGACGATGCAAAAACTATATCTAAACCAAAATCCTAAATCCAAGCACTCCCCGGGGACAATCAAAGATGTCCCTCACCTCCACCAATGTGAGTGCATGGAATATAGAAAGGGAATACAAAAATGTGTATATCAATTAGCCCAAAAACTCTAGCTTATATACAAGAGTGAGTGGTCCGAATTGAAACCAATCCGACAGCTACCAAAATCCCACTATGCTAATATTAGTATATGGCATCATAACCGTACATTTGCCCTCACAATTCTAAATTACTTAAAAACATTTCTATGTTTTTTGAGTTTTAATAACACCTCTATAGAGTTTAAACATAACTATACAAAAAAAACTAGATAAGTAGAAACCTTCATACCTTTCCATGGTAGATCTTTTTGATGTTGCAAAAGAATTTACTTGTGATCTGTTATAAGCCTAATGCTTCCCTTCGAAGCCACTTTTCTGCAAGGACGCATGGTTGGCGGAATATTTTGTCATAAAGCATTTGATAACTGCACCACACACCAAACCGATAATGGTTAGAGCCCAAGCACTAGCGAGAAACAATCACCTCAACCATGAACTACAAGCAGAGAAAAATCCTATCGCTTTGTTCTTGTGCTTGTCACAGCTCTAAGTCAGTACAATTGATCTGGAAACAAGGACGTTAGAGCATTAAAAACCAAGAGCAAAATCTCGTTACTCTGATCGTCGCCAAGCGGCTGGAAAGGAGCGGCATTTGCGCTCGCAAACTTTGCAGTGAGCTCCGTGTAGACGAGCTTGCTGAGCAGCAGCGCAGCGATGAGCACCGAGGTGATGAGCATCCCAAACACTGCGTCCCATCCTTTCTCCGACACGAATCCCGTTAGCAGCGGCCCAATAGCAGCACCGACGGAGCCCGTGCCATCGATGATAGCGGTCACGGTTGCCAGAGCCTTGGAGCTTCCACTGAGCGAGCTGTGAGTGCCAAGGTCCGCGGACACGGCTGTGGTGATGAGAGCATACGGCCCGTTGATGAAAGCTCCCAGGAAGACCATGAGCACGACGTTGCCAGCTAGAGACGAGCTGCCATAGACGCGATACAGAACCAGCGCTGGGACTGCAACGTACAGAAAAGTTGCCGCCGTGGTTGCTTTCGCGTTGAGTTGATCCGAGATGTAGCCAGCAGCAACGCCTCCAAACATACCTCCCACGTCGAAAAGTGTGGACAATCGACCCGACATTCCATCGGAGAGATAGTTGCCAGCGATCTCTGCCCAAACAAACATAAAAAAACGCTTAGAACTATATATAACACAAAAACTCGAAGAACACTTACTAGTATGCCTTATGTAGAACGGAAGCCAGTAGAGGAACGTATAAGCCACCAGCTTGGAGAAGAACAGGCACAGTGCGAACTGTGCAACGCCTGGAATCATCCAGGCATCAAAAAACCCCACAGCCGAGTCGTTCCTCGTCCCTGGCGCGAGAGAAACCTCCCTAAACTCCTCACCGTCGCTATTTATATCCAGGCCCTGGAACTCGCTCCCGTCGATCATGACCGAAAGGAACTTCCCGCCCATGCTTGTGCGGTTGCCTCAGCATGATCAGCTCAGGCGCCGCTGCTTGCCTTACGTACTCGCACCACCACCACCACCAACACTCGCCATCGAAGACGACATATCAACCTCTTCCGGATCCACTGCCAGGAAGAAGAAAACCACCAAAGCCGCCATAGCCATGAGAAAACCGGGAGCTACAAACGACCACCCCCAGCCATACTGCAGCATCTCCGCCGCGAGCAGCGAGCCGACGATGTTTCCAGCCGAGGTGTGACAGTTCCAGATCCCCATGATCAATCCCCGCTTGCTCTTGTCAAACCACTTCGCGACAATGGTCACCACCGACGGCCACCCTGTGGATTGAAAGACCCCCGCTACCATCTGGACGAGTATGAAGTAGCCTAGAGAATGGACCTTCCACCAGTAAGCCATCCCAAACAGGCACGAGAATGCCCCGCTGCCCGCCATGCCAGCCGAAAGAAAAAACCGGAGGTTGAGACGATCACCCAGATGACCCGCGAAGTACATTCCTATAGCGTAAGAAGCTAGAAAAGCTACATCTATAATCCCGAGCCTGGCTTTACCTCGACTCCCTACGAAGGGACTCCACCCCTCCCGGGCATTTCCTGGATCGATGCTGCTGGACGGGGAGAGATTGGAGCTCGGGCTCACCGCGAAGCCTGGATCCGAGTACTCCGGATGGAGCACGGCCTTGACGATGCTGATCGGCTTGCGCGCGGCGTGATAGCCGGCGTAGGCGAGGAATGTGATCCCTAGAACCGATGCCTTGTAGAATCCGAGGCTGAAATTGGAGGCGCGGCGCGCCCGGAGGAGCTGGATGCCCGGTGCCACGGCCCGCGCCTCCATTCTCGGCGCTGGGCGCTAGGCGCGCCCTAATTAGGGCATTTTGAAAAAAAGAAGAAGATCCTACTAGCATATTCTACTGGGTCCTAAGGTTTGATTTTTCCGTCAAACTTATCATGCGCAAGGCTTTTGACTATTACTTTTGCTTGCTAAGGCAGCTGGATTCTTGAATGCTTGAGAGCTCGATCATGGAGAGGAACAAAATCGTGGAATCAAAAAAACTTATTTCCTAGACTCGTGGCGAGCGAGCAGCTCTTCGAAAAAGTCTTGCTTGATTGATTGATGTTGTCTCGCTGCTGCTTGCTCGATCGATCGACATTTTTTTGCTTCGCTGCACCATCACGAAGGAGTCCCACGCACGCAAGAAACCAAAGAACTTTCGAAGGAGAGGAGAAAGAAAAGCGAAAGAAAGTTTACTTGCGTACAAACGCCATGGATTCCAGCTCACGATCCATTATAGCAACAGGATCATCGGACGTCGCAACGCTGATGGGCGAACTGGTGGTGGTGTGTGGTCACCTAACTTTGAGCCTGCAAAACGGAGATAGTTACCTAACAAAGGCATCTATCACCAGTGAAGTAAGCTTAGCTCTCCAGTAACCGCAACCTTTGATTTATAGCTACTTCTCGCTTTCACCAATCACATACACATTACACGGCAGCAGCGGCAGTCCTGAGATGCGAAAAACAGCAAAACTTTCGGTCAAGAACCAATCCAAAAACTTTCACGTACACGAACCTCAAAGTTGCGACGGCATCTCCTCCACCAAGTTCCTCGACCGGGACCTCGATCTCTCCCGCTCGCTCTCGCTCCGGTGTAGCATCGCCTTGATGTGGAGAAAGACGTCCATCCTCTTCTCTTGCGGCGTCGGTGCCGGAGCCGGAACCACGGCCTGTGGCGGCGGAGGCGCGTAGAATTCCTCCTCGGTGGTCATCATCTGTGGCTGCTTATTCGCGACGAGCCGGAACACGACCCCAAAAATGGTTCCAGCGATGAACGGACCGGCCCAGAACACCCAGTGGCAATCCCAGAGCGTGCTTCCCTGGACGATGGCCGGTCCCAGGCACCTCGCGGGATTCATCCCAGCGCCCGAGTAGTATGGAGACTTGAGCTGCGACGAGATGAAAGTAAACAGTCCTGCCGCGCCACCGATGCTGAGAGCAGCGAGAATTGGACCAGTCTGGCGAAAGTTCCCGGGCTCGAGGAGAGTCGAGTAGGCCACGAAAATGAGAAGAAACGTGAAGAAGATCTCCGAGATGAGCCCCGCTCGCGGTGTGAGTCCCTCCGGCCACTCGAGCCCCCGAGAGGTTCTCACAACTTCTCCGAGCAGGCACCCGGCGAGGGAGTTTTTCTCGACGAAGTCCCGCGCCACCACCTGTTTTGCTGCCAGAGTCCCGATCAAAGCTCCCAAGCTCTGCGCTGCCATGTAGAGCATTGCTCGCACCGCGGTCGTGTGGCCCGTGAGCATGGTCGTGTATGTGAAGATCGGGTTGAGGTGCCCGGCGCCCACCCACACGGACAGTGCCGCGAGAATGCACGCCGCCCAGACGAGGAAGTAGACGAGAGCGATGGCGATTCCTCGCTGCTTGAAATCCACGCACGCGGCAATGCCGGTTATAAGCGCGAATTGGAAAGCCGAGAAGCCGACGAGCTCGACCAGAGTTCCACGCCACACCTGAAATGAAAGGATTTTTTTTTTTCTTTCGAGAGACCGAAGAATTCATAGCTTACCTCACAGTTTGTGAAATCCATCAGACCCAAGAAGCGCTCCATTCGGCCGCTCCACGTCAGGGGCGGCGCGGGCAGCCCTTTGTCCTTGAATGCTTCCTCATCCATCGCCATTCCAGGTCGCGGAGGCTGCCCATATACTGGCGGGGATTGGTACCCCGACCCGGTGGGAATGTAGTAGCTCGTGCTGGGATCGTGATTCGACCTGGAACAAGGAAAATTCCCATCAATCCGGCATCCAAAACCCCAAATCCGAGATCGAAGCACAAGAATCCCCCGGAAGAGAAAGAGAGAAGGAGAGAGAGGACGCTGCCATACCTGTATCGTCCAGAATGTGTCACTGGCTGGAGCTCGCCGCTGCGATAGCTGGTGCCGGCGCCTCCACTCTCAATCTGGAAAGACGAAGACATGGCGATCCCCTATCGGATCGATCCACAGCCTCTCTGTGTTAATGCGGAAGAATCCAGGCGAGCCCTAGCGGGATCGTGGGCCGCGCATTGCGTGGGAGTGGAGGAATGCGCTGATGAGCTCGACCGCCGCCGCGCCGCAATAAATGCTCCTCTCTCGCACTGCCGGGGACCGAGGCGGCGGATCAGGCGACCTAAAGACACAGGACAAGAGGAACGTGTGCCAGTGTAGCGGCGGCGGCGGCGACGTCTCCTCCCTCCACCTCACCTCCGCCGCCACTCCTCCGGGAATTTGAATTGTAGGCACCCGTTAATTAAAATAAAAATCCCCCCAGAATATCCCTTCACAGCAGAGCAGAATATTCTCCCCGCGGAGCCACGGGCAGAATATACCCCTACGAACTGACAGAATGTGCCCCGAGATGTGAATTTCTGGCAGAATATGCCTCGCTTGCTGGTGCGTTGCGGGTCCCTTGGCCCTTTCTCTTCAATCCCAAGGTATAAGCACGGAAGCTCGCTGACTGACAGGTTCGACCAGAAGAGAGTCCACTCGCTCCACTCCCGCCCGCAAATTCTAACGCCAACCCGGGGGAATATTCGTCTGGGAATATTCTCGGCATATCCAGGGTTTAGCGCGTCGTGGTTTTTTTGTTTTGTGGTGTCGGTTTGGAGGTTTCTCTCGTTTCATAGTCTCACTGTGCGTGTGCGTGCGCGTGTGTTTTTTTAAGCTTACGGGGGAACAGGGAAGTCTCTCTCGTTGGCTCGCCGGTACAACACCGTGGACGCCTCTACCCTGATAAACAAAAAAAATACGTTAGTCCCGAGTGGCTTTGGAACTGCTTATAAGAAGAAAAAAAATGCTGGGTCTTTTTTCTTCTTGTCTCGGTACCAAGCAGGACGAACGAGAAATCTCCCAGTTGCCAGAGCCCAGTTCGACTATAACACAACACAAAAAAAGAAAAAAAGAAACGAGTTTGAGCAACTTTTGATCGAGTTTTTGATCGGTTTCTTACTTTGTCTGTTCCCATGGAGATCGCAACGACGTGCGTGACATCCTCCTCCATCCTCGTCGTGCAAACCGCTCCGAATTGCTCGGCCATCCTCCACAGCGGGTGGAGCTGCGGCTGCGTCTCCTCGACGGGGAAAACCCGGCTAAAGATGATCTTGCAGCCACCGAGTATGCGTCTCTGGACAACGGAGAGAACCTCCCGGATATCGACTTCCTTTGGAAGCGGCCGGGAGTAAAACTCCTCGTGAACTCGCTCGACCACCTGGCTCGTAAAAAGTAAGCTTCGCTCGATAGAAACGAAAAAGAAAAACGAAAGAAAGGAAAGAAAAGAGTTTGTTTTGTTGGCTTACTCCTAGTATGGATGCTAGCATTCCATCGGCTTCTCTCTCGTCGTGTCCCACCTCTAAAAGCGAGGGGCCGGGCAGTCCAAATTGTTTCCTGCTGCACGGAAAATACATATATCTGCAAAGTCTCTAATCGTCAGCAAGGCAACGAAGAACACAAAGATCAAGAGGAACAGAAAAAAGAGAAAACAACGAAGATCACAAAGACCAAGAGGAACAGAAAAAAGAGAGAAAAAAAGAACTTGGAACTTTAAAAGAGGGACCCGGGAGATGGTATACCTTTCCACCACGATTAAGTTATCTTTGTGGTGTGGCCAGACGCGTGCAGAGTCATCGATGATAAGCACTGCCGACTCCATTCCAAGCACTCCATCCAAATCTTTGCTCCTCGGGGTCTTCTCGTCACCGTAGAGCGCATCACCGTCATCGCCTTTAGAAATCACGCGGCCAGCAAAGAGGACTCCAGTTGGATCCAGAAGCTTGGCCATCTCGGTTGCGTATGCTTTGTTGCCCATTGTGTAGAGGTGAAGCTCGTAAAGTTGGCTTGCCTGGAAACAAGAAAAAACACGTTTTTAAGAAAGACCTTTCAACAATCGAAAAAAGAAAACGAAGAAAGATAATCACCCGTGCGAGAAATCTCCAAATGCCAGGCCTAAGCTTTGTCCACATTGACATGTAAGGAAACCGGTAAAGTTCCCTCCGAGTTCCTTCTTTCGCGTCTTTGTTCCGCTCGATGGTCTCGGTGGCACGCAAAAATCGATCCCATTCTTGCTCGATCTCCATAAACTGGAAGAAAAGAAGAATAAAAAACCATAAGCAAAAACAACAAAATAAGATGCAACAAGAGTAATCACCTTTGCAGAATTCAAGAGTGTGTGATCAAGGTCCAGCACAAGGCACAGCTTCTTTTCACTCAGCATCTTGTCCTGCTCGTCCATCCTCCGTTGTCTCTCCTTGATAAAAGCAATGCGCTCCGCCTCGTCGAGATCAATCAAAAACTCTTGCAGTTCCGGATGGATGTCTAACTCGGTTCCATTCTGTAAAACGGGAGGAGAGCCCGCTTCTAGTCCCGGAATGCTGGGAAACAATCCTGGAATGTTGGAAGGAGGAAGAACTTCAACCGTGTCCTTCACTTGATTCCTCAACTCTGGTGGCTTTGGTGGTCGCACAGTACCATTTTCCAGACTTGTGATATGCTGCTCCTCCTGATTCGTGGTCTCGGAGAGTGCACGCCTTGGATCGCGAGGTTTCATCTGATCAAAAAAGGAAAACAAAGAAGAATGAAGCAAGGAAAACATGAAAGGATGTAAACAGACCAGTATGGATTTGCCATCCTTAGCTTCGGGCTCCAGCCATCCTCCACTGCGGGGAGCCGCCTCGCTCTGAAGCTTCTGACGCTTAGAAGTTTGTGAGTCGGGCTTTAACGCTTCTCGTTTTCTGGAGGGGTTTCCTTCCAAGGCACCACGTCGGGGATCTCGGGGTTTTAAAACTGGTTGAGAACCGGTCTCGGTTTTGTCAGTTAAAGTTTTCCCGTATCTCGCTGCTTCGTCCTCTTTCGAGGGAGTCGGGCTGGGAGGAAGATCATCCATCGGGAACGACGCAGACATATAGTGTGTGTACGACGTCAGTGAGGACGAGGTTGGGTGCTCAGCGCTCGTCCCTCCATCCCATGGTATATAAGCGTGCTCCTTACCATCGCTGCTAGTCTCAAGTTTTGGGTTGACGGCTTCATACAGAGCCTTGAGCTGCGAGTTTTTTCCGCGTGTTATCCTCAATCAAGAAAAAAAATGACCAAAAGTCTCCTCACTTCTTCCACTTGTTTCGCCGTGAACAGTTTATCCGTGTAGAACTTCGCCAGCTTAGCCAGACTGGAGAAAGAAAAAAATGTGAGCGATTGCCTTGTACAAAAATAACAAACCTTTGCAGGACTCCGGGTTTTTGCTCGTCTCCTATCGCGTTATAAACCTGATGGATCCCATCAGCAAAGTGAGAAACAAGCACAGGAAATCCAGCACACTTACGCAGTAAACGATCCGAATCTTGTCTAAAATCTTCAACACGAGCGATTGAACCAACTCGCAGTTGGGCGATTTCTTAGATGGTTGATCCAGCTCCTCCAAAATCTGCAAAGCATCGTGGAGCTGGGCGCATGCGTCGTTGGGAGACCTGCAAAAGCACCAATAGCTCCATCAAACATTCCATATCCATCCCCGGAAGGAAAAAAGAAGGAGAGAAGAGGGACGAAAATATAACAGAGAATAAACTTACTTGCATGCATTCCCCACGCTAACGTTGTTAACTAGTTTAACCACCGTTTGTATCGAGTTATCGTGTTTGCTCTCCGAGTCTCTTCTCCCAGAGTTTACGTGGTGCTGGGTTTTGGGCGATCGAATCGATCCATTCCCGGACGTGGAAACGGCCGCAGACGACTCGATGCGCTCGGCGGCGGCGGTGGCGACGAAAACATCGTCATCGTCGTCCGAGATCTCGCCTTCCTCGTGATCGTCATCAAAATCGCCTTGAGGGTCGACGGGATTCTCCAGCGCCGCGAGACCAATCGCGAATTGGGTCGCCATGGAAGCGAGCGAGCGAGAGAGCGAGTGCGTGTGCCCAATTCCCTTTCAAGACCTAATTTTTCGTTCGTACCTACGAGACACCCCACTGATCTGACCGATCTCGCGGCCCGGCCGCGGGAGAGGGGAAGAGATCGCGAGACGAGATCTTAAGGGGGAGGGACAAAGAAGGTTTCCCTCGTCAAAACTCGCTGGTCATGGATGTTTGCTTTGCAGCCGCAAAAACCCTAAAATCCACCTCGCTTGCTCTCAACGGCCGCGATTAATGGGCACGATTGGCGAATATTCTCCTAAGAATCTTTTCGGTTGAATTTCCTATTGCACACGGACAATTTTATCAAGTTCACTAGACATTGCCTAGCATAAGCTGCCGTTGGCAAAGTTTTTTTGATCCACATATTATCAATAAAAGATGGACACTTTCTGTGGATCATTCACTATTTGCAAATAGTAAATAAATTATTTTTGCTGGAGCTAGCAATCTTGTTTATTATCTCACTACCAAGCAATGTCTAATACTAATCTTAAGTACTTATGGAAATTAACAGAGCCAACCCCTCAATGAGTATTTGTATTTGATATTAAGATTTCAATTCATGAATTTGCTTGCAATGCATTGAGCACCATCAAATTTGCATGGATCCCAATGCCTAATTCAAAAGCTTTAACTTTCACTCCATAAGAGGGATAAAGTTGAGGGAATGGCCCCAGTGGGATTGAGATTAAGGGAATGAATAGTAATTTCCCCATTTAATTCTTGCCCATGTATGCATATGTCAAATTTCCTTCTTCTCTCACAATAGGTAATGCTATTATAGCCAATGCTATTTATATAATAGCATAAAAATGGATATGTGTATTGCTATAATAATATATATTATTATTAACATAGTGCTAGTTGTCCCTAAAAAGTGTTTGGATTTTTAAATTTAAATTTCTCTTATTCTTGTAATTTTTATTTTTGTATTTTTCCTTTTTGTTTTGTTCATTTTCATGATAAAGTAACATACTCCTACTTTGCACTAGCCTCTTCCTCCTCAAGCAATAATTGGTATAATTTCTTAATGCTATGTTGTTGTAGTTAGATAATCAAATTAATATTAGAGATGATGTGTACAATTGATTCAATTACTTTATGGTGATTATTATATATAATTTTTGGGATGTTTGCATAAGTTTTTTATATGTCTTCAAGGGACATGTTGATAACTATAATAATGTCTTTCAACAATTGCATCATCTTTATTAGGGGATGTTTGACTCAATTATGCAATTTGTTCTATTTTGTGCAAGTTAAATAT